CCCAGTCCCCTACTACTGCTCCATGGATATGTTGTGCAGAGTTATTTTAAGGGTCTTTTTTTTGGAAGGGGCAGCATCCGGTTTGGAGTGAAATAGTAATTGCCTATCCCTCCCCTCAGAGGCTTTGATCTTTCCTGTTCTTGGGTGTTAAACGGTTTTCCTCTGAATTGCCGTGAAGAACATGCAGCAACTGGCTTTTTCTTTTATCAACAGCCCGCTAACAAACGGCACTTTGAAGCCACAAACAATTCACCCTGAAAAGAACCAAAAAAAAAAATAAAAAGACACGAGGAAAACACTGTTTCCGCGTGTAACTGGGTTTTTTTGGAAAAGGATTTTAAATTCAGCATCGTTTTCTTTTTACTCGCATATTTCTGTGTTGAAAAGAAATCTATTTATTTGAATATCAACAATTGACCGGTGTAATGGTCTGTAATTGTTCTGTGGGGATTTTAAAGTGGGCACTCTTACCCGCTCTCGTAATTAGTCCGAATTTTTTACGCTGATGCATATCTTAACGAGGGGAAAAAAATTGAAATACTTTTAAAGGTTTTTTGTGACTGGGGGTCAGTAATTGGCATCTGGCTTATCAGACACAAATTGGCCACACTTGACCGCTCAAAGGAGCCCGAACCGAAGACCGCCATCGAGACAATCGCTGAATACGACCCCTGACAGCCTTTTTCTCTGATGTGACGTGCACTTTTATCTCCAAACTAGCCGTTTGAAGTCTGTGTGGGTTAGTCGAACTGTAAGCAGCTGCTTTTTTCTCTCTTTCTCCTGCGATTATTTAAAAAAAAAAAAAAAAAACACTGTTAAAAGTGACAGCCATTAAGGTCAAAATGGGCAAAGAGCTAGACTTTGAAATCCAATACTGATAAATTGCCGGGTGTGTTTGACTGTGCCGGGCATATAGGATCATATCGACTTTCTTTCCTGTGTGTGTATATATATGTTTATGTGAGAGTGTGATGGGAGAAAAAAAAAAAAAAAAACTAGGGGGAAGGGAAGGGGGTATTGTGTTTCATTAAAAAATCTATAGGATATCTCATTACAGCCTGGTGATTTTCTTTAGCGTGGGGGTTTCGGAGGGAAGGAGTGGGGGGAAGATGGATGGGCTTTTCTGTCTTAGATGACTATCTCATCTGTAGCTGTTCATGGATAAAGAAGGAACTCTGCTCCTTCCTGGTCCCGTTTGCTCACGGCCTTATCAGAAAACTCATCTTCACATGGTAGAGAAGGGGGGAAAAAGTCTGAAATGACCAAATCTGTGGCAGATGTCTACTATAAAATAGTTACAAGTTCACAGACGGACGTTTTAATCTAATATTAAATATTTCTTCTGTCAGAATTTGCTCCCAAACTCTGTTTTTTTAATGTTCATTCAATTCAAATGAAGCCGCTTGTGTATTTCTTATTTTTCATAAAAAGAATTGTGTTCAAACCGTGTGGTTGCAGGTTGTTTTGTGAAATTTTCCCTCAGTTTGAGGAGATTTTTGCTTAAACACACCTCTCTAAGAGCCCGTAAAGGTTAGTCCACATCTCCAAATTCCTGACAGGAAATGATGGTTTTAACCTTTTCAGTCCACTTGCTCTGTGGGCTTTCATTTTAATTTTTTTACCCTTCAAGGCACGCTGTTTCTTACTGTTTGGCTTTCCAATTATTCACTTTTAAGTTGTTTTTTTTTAAGGAAAAAAAAGGGAAAGCGTTTCCCGGCTGAATCTCTCAGTTTTCAGGTCCGTATTGCTCTTGTCTCGGTGGGTTAATCTTTCATCTGGGACCCGTGGGGAGACGGATAAGAGGGAGGAATTTTAGCCTCAATCAGTGCTGCTTAATTATCACGAACAGACGAGGTTAGAGGAGGTTTCCCTGTTTGCACAGTCCCTCCTGGATGGATCTCCCTCTGCTCACACTCGCTCTCAGCGCTCTCGTCTTCTTTTAAAGTCTTATGTTTTGTGTATGTAACCAGTTTAGGACTCTTCAGGAGTTGTGGATTCATAATTCGATATTGGAGTCGGTTGGATGAAGTCTTGTGTCTGTAAAGATGATCGCTAGTCAAATGTGGTTAGGTTTTTTTTTCCACATGCACAGAAACAACAAAAAAATTATGTAGTGTTACTTCGGTAGCACATATACTAAAGATTGGAACGATACAGAGAAGATTAGCATGGCCCCTGCGCAAGGATGACACGCAAATTCGTGAAGCGTTCCTCATTTAAAAAAAAAAAAAATAAATGATGTGGGTTAAAGATGGGATTTAATGCATTTTCTACAGTTTTCAATGACCCGACTGAAGTAAGCACATTTTTCTAAGAAGCCTTTTAAAAGGGTTTGTCACTAGCCACAGATGCGGTTTTGTCACTGGTTTAGTTTTTTTTATGTAATGCACATTTTAATTTCATTTTAATTAAATTTTTATGCACAGTAAAATGGTCAGTTTTGCTGTAATTTTCACACAGATCCTTGATGTAGTGTCTTACATTTGTCAGAACCTGACACCACTACACAGTATAGGCCCCTTATCCTAAAACTGAATGTATTCTATTTGTATTCCAATAAATTTTTTAGTAGATATTAGCAAAATTAGATATTATAAATTTTAGAAACACAGGCTCCAAAGCTAACATCTGTAGAACAGATGAGAGCAAAGTAGGAGTCAATCGACTCCTTCCTTACTCTACATACAATGATACGTTAAAGGCAGAAACAAAATAACAATTCAAAAGAATATATGCAGGATAGGAAACGATTTCTCCTGGGTTTCACATTTCAATAACAGGCAAACACAAAAGTAATGTTTGATAAGATTTGTTACGCCATTCTTGGCTCTTTGGAGGTTCGGGCTGGAGGACTACTACTAGTTTATGCCTTAATGTGAAAAATGGCAGAGAAAATTGAAGATGGAGAGGGCGAAATGACAAACCTGAAGCATGAGAATGGCAGTTTACTGATTAAAGGGTGATGGTACGATGGTTTCGTCCATTTTTTACGTGCAGTCTGTGGCTGGTGCCAGCGTGGACCGGGTTTGTGGGACTTATTAGCAAACATTTGCATTTTTCTTATATGCTGCCTCATTGTTAGCAACACCAGCTAGACCAGATCACTAACGGATGTTTTCATTCTTTTTTTATCTTTGGTTTGTAAACCCGATGATCAGTTTTTTGGAGGTGTGACAAAGCCTCCGAGGTGGTCCTGGATTGAAGCTGAGGCTTCCTAAACCAAACAGAAGATCAGTGTGTGTGTGTGTGGCTGTACGTTATTACTTTACACCACAGAAAGCAACGGCTTAACTCCAGCACAGTAAAAAAAAAAAAGAAGAAAAATCCCATTCTCATTATCTCCTGATGGGCCCATTCTTTTTTCACACGATTGGAAAGGATCTCTTTAACTCATTGGCTGCCAAAGACGTCTATAGACGTCTTTTATGTTTTTCAACGTGAGTGGCTTGGGGAACGATCTGCTAAAGTTTGTCCGTAAATATTGGCTTTTAGACAGAGTATGTAGTAACAAATTGACCCTCTAGGGGGCAGTGCCACTTTTGATGGGAGATGAGCATAGACTGTAGGCAAATAAGAAAAAGGTAACGGTTCTATGAGAGAACATTTCGCCGGTGAGACGCAAGTCCAGGAAGAACGGAATAAGGTAGAAATGATTTATTTTTCCTGATGAAAGAAGAGAGTCTACTCTTTCTTTTGGTGTGTTCGGTGTTTACATAGTCATAGCACAAACTATTCTGTGGCTCTCGAAAAATCTGTCAAAATGCTCAAAAAACTCTGGCAGTATGGGACTCTCTGTTCTGAAAATGGTTGGCAGTCAATGGCAGTTAAAATGTAACTATGAAGAGACTGATTTGACTCTTATTTGTGGGCTCTCTGATCAGCGGGAGTTGATATTTGGGCTCCATGAGCTTCTGGAGACTCGCTTTTCCAGGTGACAAAGGCCTGTGAGATTAAAAAAAACCCAAAAATGGATGCCCTCTTCTTTTAATGTGCCAGTTGACTGGCTGCCAGCTCGGGGCTCCTATCAGTGTTTCCAGCTGTTTTTGACTTGGCCTCAAATGCTCATTTCAGCTCCTACTGTGGGGAATGCTGGGAAAATAAAAAAAATAGCAGGTTGGGCCCTCTGATCAGAGCTCGATCCTTAACTGGACCACTTATGTCCCCCACGAAGTTCAGTTACAGACGGGAAAAAATGGAAAAGATGCATTCCAACATCAGTCAGTTTCTGTCTCATTTTTGGTTAGTTAGTTATTATGATTGTTTAGTTTTCAATTGGATGAAATCCTGACCCAGACAAGGTTTCACCTCATTGGAAAAAAATATATGTCTGTTTTTTTCTATTCATAGAGGAAAAATGGGGGGAAAAAAGAAAGAAAAGCTTGAACTTGATTGGCCCAAACTCTGGCTTTATGAAGTTTTTGCCTGTTTTAGAAGAAAAGGAAACAATTTTGTGAATCACGTCTGATTTAGCAAAGATTAAAGTAGCATGACCCGACAGCTGTTTTCAGACCGGGCCAACAGGCAATAATAAACTCATGTGACTCACATCCCGGTACGCCGAGATGTGAGACATTATCCCAGATATTCCCAGAGATGAAAGATTGTACAGAGGCAGAGCACGCTCTACTTTTCCTGTTCGTGGATGTCCACCGCAGCTTTGTTTTTTCTCCCCAAACTTCTTCTTCCTATTGATTACGTCCACTAGTGCTGGTCCCTGAGCAGAAGATGCATGTTTACGGCACAAAAAAGACCTTATCTGGCAACAACTTTCCCTTAGAATCCCTTGGGAGATCTTTGTATTTATCCATTGATTAGAAGAGGACAACTCCCCCTTTCCCCAAATACCTAAAAACACTTGCATCTAATTATGTTGCATTGTCCTAAATGGTCTTTTGAGGCCACCCAGGATCTCCATGCATCGTCCTGAGGTCATTGTTATTTCCCTGAGATGACTCTAGGTGACAGATGGGCTTTAAAAAGGAGTTTGGACAGATAGGAGGATGAAAGATATCTCAGAAAATGACCAGCAGATTAGAGGTATGAAGATGAAGGAGACGAGGGGCGAGAGGGAAGTGGAGACGGCCGTTTCCATTAGCGCCATTAAAGGAGACATATTATACCCTATTTCAACAAGTTAAGCTAGTTCCCTGGTGTCCTAATGTAATGTCTGTGACAAGCTTTGGTCAGAATCCCATAAGGATGAAGCCCAATAGCAGTTCAGTCCCCCTGCCTAACCCTAACCCTAACCCTAACCCTAACCCAAAACAGCCCTGTTCAGAGCGCTCGCTTTGGGAGTGCCTGTCTCTTTAAATGCAAATGAGACACAGGCAATCCACCCACTTCTTCAGGGAGGTGTGCCCACGTCGGCACGCTAACGCTACCATGCTAACGCTACCATGCTAATGCTACCATGCTAACGCTACCATGCTAACGCTACCATGCTAACGCTCACGCTACCAGGACGTCTCCACAGATGGGCGGAGTGAGCTGAGGGGGGGGGCAACATGCAGGTGAAAGGCTGGAATATTATAATGAGCTAGAGCTAATGACGTCAGAAACTACCCACTCCTGAAACCTCCTGATTTATCTCCTGGATTCAGACTGAGGCGGCCCACAAAAACATGACATTTTTTTCACACTTTGCCTGCTGATAGGCCCTCCACAGTCCCAAATGTACATGTAATCACATGATTAAAAACTTGGTTTAACATAATATGTCCCCTTTAAAGCAGCCTTTACGGCCCCACGCCGGAGAGAGGCAGAGACTGAGGGTTTATTAGACACCCGTTCATCCATTTCTTGTTACCCTGTATAGGTCTAAATGCTTCCAGTTTGTGTATCACATGTGTGAAAACTGCATTCCCACACAGTGACACACACAACCAGATTGGCCTTTAAAGAAAGAACTAATCTTCTGCTTCTGCTCGTAAATCCCCCACCGATCGTGTTTACTTTTCATGAAGCCCAGGATTTCCTCTCCTCTCGGTCCGAGCCACAGAAGGGCCTCTGTTGCTGAGAGCGTAATTGGTTTCGAGAGCCGGCCGTTCGGTCTGAAGAGCAGCTCAGTGAGGAGAGCAGCCTGGGACAGAACAGGGGGTCTTTGTGTGAATCCCCCCCCCTCCAATCACAACTCTACGATAAGGCTCTCAATGAGAGGCTGACTTTGGAATCGTCCATAGAAATGTTAACGGGGACGTATAATGCAAAACCAAGTTTTTAATCATTTGATTGTGTACATATGGGGCTGTGGAGGGCCTATCAGCAGGCAAAGTGTTAAAGAAAATGACAAAGGACAAAAAAACACAAAAAAAAAACACAACAAGGACAATTTATATTTACGGCTCTTATGTAAAAGGAGCAAGCATTCGGTGGACTGAGGTAATAAGCTAAAAATGTCTTGACATTTATTCTAATTAAAAACATATAGAAGACAACATGTGTCTTTCTAACTGAAATCATTTACCTGTTTAAAGGGGACATGTTATGCTAAAGCAAGATTTTAATCGTTTGATTATGTACATTTGGGACTGTGGAGGGCCTATCAGCAGGAAAAGTGTGAAAAAAAATGACTCAGTCATGTTTTTGTGGGCCGCCTCAGTCTGAATCCAGGAGATAAATCAGGAGGTTTCAGGAGTGGGTAGTTTCTGACGTCATTAGCTCTAGCTCATTATAATATTCCAGCCTTTCACCTGCATGTTGCCCCCCCCCTCAGCTTACTCCCCTATCTGTGGAGACATCGTGGTAGCGTGAGCGTTAGCGTGGTAGCGTTAGCATGGTAGCGTTAGCATGGTAGCGTTAGCATGGTAGCGTTAGCGTGCCGACGTGGGCACACCTCCCTGAAGAAGTGGGTGGATTGCCTGTGTCTCATTTGCATTTAAAGAGACAGGCACTCCAAAGCGAGCACTCTGAACGGGGCTGTTTTGGGTTAGCGTTAGGGTTAGGGTTAGGGTTAGAGTTAGGGTTAGGCAGGCGGACTGAACTGCTATTGGGCTTCATCCTTATGGGATTTTGACCAAAGCTTGTCACAGACATTACATTAGGACACCAGGGAACTAGCTTAACTTGTTGAAATAGGGTATAATATGTCTCCTTTAGTCCACCAACTTTGGAGTGGAACACGACAGAAAAGGATCCGTAAACTGGATCCTTTTCCCTTCTGGAGGCCTGAGCTCTTCTGTTTGTCACAGCCATGGTGGACAGCGCTTTGTAGGGAAAGCTAGTTTTAAACCCGGCTCCATGTGATGGGAAATCCAGAAAGACTTGGAGGAGTTCCGGTCAGTGGCCCTGGTGGTGTCAGAGTCCAGCCGTAAACTTGGACTTTAAAACCTTTTACGACTTCTGAGAGGATCTGGGCTGGAGGTAACAGGCTGTACTTTTCCAACAGAAAACCTCATTTTCTAGCACCTTGCTCTTTATTCCCTCGTTCTCACAAGCGGGAGTATCCTTTTTTTCTTTTTCCAAGCGATCTCTGGGTGGCTGTGCCTTGGTAGATGAGACCCTTTTACTCTGTAATTTGGTTTTTAAAAACCCGCCTTTCTCTTAGCTCCACTCCTTTTCTGTTAAATACCTCCAGTAATTAAGTAGTAACAATACGAGGCACTCCGTATGTGTTCATTTGGACTGTAAGAACTGTAAGAAACGGGTTTACTTTGCATTGTTGGCTTAAAACTGTATCCTGGCTCCCTCCGTTTTATTTTGGAAAGTCTGAGTGGCGTATTTTCCCTTCGCAGATAGATGGGAAACGAGCCCTTTGGAGCTGTCTATCAGAGGCCAAAAGTAAAGTTTTTTTCTTTGTACTGAGATGAAAGTTGAAGTCTTTCTTTAGTCGGCAGCAGTCGTCATGCGAGTTATTACCGGCCTTTTCTGGCTCATTTAACCAACCTGCTGATCTCTCCCCTGCACCTTTATGGGGGAAACAGTTCGGGCTGCTTAACCTTTTGATACCAAGCGCTGGCATGTTTTTCTGGCTCTTTCTTGCTTTGATTTACTTTGGGTTGATGTTTAGAAGCCTGGATTGATGTTGAGATGGTGCCGTTTCTCCCTAAGGGACCCGGCAGACTCCTGAAATATGAGTTTTGATGCCTGCTCTTTTACATTACTCCCAATTTTCTAAAAATAATCCGATGCACTTTTAAGAACAAACAGTTTTTCGTTTCCTTATTGAGAGGATCTTTCAAACCGAGGCGGTGTTTTTTCTACCGGCAGTACGGTTCAGTTCAGGTCTTTTTCCGAAAACCCGACTTAACGCTTCATCAAAATATTTGTTTAGTCGGGGAATAGTGAATCCAGTGGCTCCCTCACGTGTTTCTGAGGGGACTTTGGGCTCGGCTTTGTTGTCTGCCAGTGTGTTTGTTTAGCTGGATTTTGGACGAATATTGATGCTATCTATAGAGTTTTTGTGGGAAAGGGAAGAAATCATTTGGATATTGTTGGTTTTCTGTCCTTATTCATACTCTATCTCTACGTCAGCAACTTGAAGCATATGATTTGCCATTTTGGAGCTGACGCTAAGTCCTTCCCTACAGTTTCTGGGATGGGAACGAGAAGCTGTTCAATTAAATTCAATTCAATTTAATTTATATAGCGCCACATCACAACAACAGTTGTCTCACAGCTTTCCAAACAGAGCAGGTCAGACCCTACTCTGAAGTTAACTACAGAAACCCAACAATTCCCACCATGAGCAAGCACTAGGCGACACAGGCAAGGAAAAACTTCCTTTTAACAGGCAGAAACCTCAAGCAGAACCATGGCTCAGGGTGGGCGGCCATCTGCCTCGGCCGGTTGGGGGTGAGAGAGAGAGAGGGAGAGAGAGAGAGAGGCAGCCAACACAGTAACACGTAGACTAGATGAAAAATGGCAATGATATTAACACTAATGACAATGGTAGAGGGCGGCACGGTGGTGTGGTGGTTAGCACCATCCCCTCCCAGCAAGAGGGTTCTGAGTTGGAGTCCCGGGGGAACCAGGACCAGAGGGTTCTGGGTTGGAGTCCCGGGGGAACCAGGACCTTTCTGGGTGGTTCTGCATGTTCTCCTGTGTCTGTGGGTTCTCTCCGGGTTCTCCGGCTTCCTCCCACCGTCCAAAAACCTGCATGTTAGGTTGGTTGGAGATTGGGGAAATTGCCCTTAGGAGTGAATGTGAGTGTGTGTGGTTGTTTGTCCTTGTGTGTCTCTGTGTGTCCCTGTGATGGACTGGGGACTGTCCAGGGTGTACCCTGCCTCTCGCCTATTGACCACTGGGATAGGCTCCAGTTCCCCCCGCGACCCCATGAGGGAATAAGCGGTATTGATAATGGATGGATGGATAATGGTAGAAGTTATGATGGCAACAGAGTAGGAAACTCCCAAACACAGATCCAGACTCCACTGATGTTCGGCCTCTGATAGGACGCCGCCGGCCTTTCGAGTGCTTTCGGGTTCTCTCCTCCCATAGAACAATGGTCCTCTGGCTGGAAAAGAGCCAGGCCTGGGCGGGGAGCGCTCACTATTCACCAGCAGGGTAAAGCAGAGGTGATTAAGCCTGCCACGCTCCCTCCGGTCTGCAACAGGGAAGAATTCCCCCTTCTGTTACTCACTCCATCTGTCATGTACGCCATTAATAAAACACGTTTGCTGCCGGTTTTGTCGTTGTTGCATTCGCCCCCAAACTGCACTGAATTTAATCTGAATTTATTTACTTTCTGAAATGCGTTTCTCACCTTTTTAGAATTTAAAATCACTCACTTGCTGCTTCCCTGAAGCTGTGCAACCACATCTGCCTGAAGGGGTTTTGTAAATACGGCTAGCACTGTGTGGCTGGATGTGCTAGTCTTAGACGTCAGTTTCACCTTTTTTTTATTTCCGAGTGCCTCCTATTCAGAGTGACCTTAATTCAGCCCGATAAGCCAAACTCATCCCTCTAATGGAGAACACCGAAACGAAAGGCCGGAATATTGAAAAGTGCCCTTATTCCATCTAAATAAACACTTTATTAGTGTTCAGATAATTGCACGACTTCAGTGGAAGGCCGCGTTGTCCTACATTTATACCCCGACGCCAAAGTGGAAAGTTCTTTATTTAATTCAGCTACTTTTAGCTTCGTTTCGCCGTAATTGTTTGTGCTTTCAAGGGAGCTAAGTGCATTGAACATGCAGCCACCGTGATGGAGCAGGCATCTCTCCCCTTTTCTGGATCTCACACCCGGGACCCGGGCTGCAGAAATGACCCCCTCCTAGTTAAATAGCAGAACAATTGGCGTAGCCTCGCTCTTTTTCGCGCTCCCTGTTCTCTCATTTTCTGTCTTCCTCCTCTTTTCCTGCCTCTCTCCTTCCTCCCCCGGAGGCATGACATTTCCTACGAAGAGAGCGGGCATATTTTAAAACCGCGTTTTAACACACAGCCACTTATTTCACTCGGCGAGCTGCGTTATTTAAATATCTTCATAAACCTCCTAATCATTTTTGCTGGCTGTGCCCCGTCTCCCGCCGAACTGATAATTGGCCTTATTTATCTAAACAATACCACTCTGTGACTCTTGGGCTGGGAGGGCTTGAATAATGGATGAGGACAAATGCAAAGCAATCGTAGTGACTGACTTTGGCTCGACCCGTTGCCACTTATGTCTGAGGAGCGGAAACGGCCGCGGCGTTCCCGGGTGTTTACTCCCTCACGGGCTCTGTATTTATAACTGAGAAAGAAAGAGGGGATATTAACTCGCCAGGGAGGCCAGACTGGGTTAAATTTGTCGGTTCTTCTTACCCAGCTCCGACGGGGCTCGTGGTTTCGTAATAAATAGGTTTGGGGAGGCTCTGGGATTGGCTGAGGACCTCTGGCTGAAGTGTCTTTGTAGTTGTTTATTTATATTTTTTCCTTTTTTCCCCCTTTTTTTTTCTTCTTTTTTTCTTCTTTGTATTTTTAAAGTCCTGAAATCTGCAGTCTGCCCCGGCTACGTCCTCAACGCGGTGGTTTAAGGCTTTTATTTATTTCCCTGTGCATTACAGTGTTCCAGACTACAGTGGTGCAGACCTACATGGGTTCTTGTAGCTTGGTAGGTGGTTCCTCCATCTTGGAACGACACATTAAACAGTCTGGATGGTCTTAAGCTGGTGAAGGCTCTGTTAGACCACAGTCCACTGATGACCGGAGGATCCGGTTGTGACATAAGCCTTTGCAAGAGGATTCATGTAGATGGGAGCCGGACCCTTAACTCATTGACTGCCAGCCATTTTCAGAACAGAGTCCCATACTGCCAGAGTTTTTTGAGCATTTTGGGTCAATTTGTTACTACATACTCTGTCTAGAAGCCTGATATTTACGGACAAGCTTTAGCAGATCGTCCCCCAGCCACTCTCGTTGAAAAACATAAAAGACGTCTATAGACGTCTTTGGCAGTCAACGATTGTATTTGAATTGACGTCTATAGACGTCAATTCAAATACAACAATACATTGGCAGCCAATGAGTTAAGCACTTTGTGGGCTAGCATCAGGGACTTGGATTTGATACAGGCAGCCAGAGGTGACCAGTGGAGTTCATTGAACAGAGGGATTTTACTTGTTGAGCTGTGGGGGGATAGAGGTACGGGTTAGGATTGGGATTTTTGGGAATTGGGAATCTCTTTAAAGCAGTCTTCAAATCACCGATAGCCTTAATTATTCCCTCCGAGTCCATGTTCGTTCCAGGGCTTTCAGCTTCCGAACTAGCCACGTTGTCGTTAGTTTGCTTCAGACATGTGTTAGTCTGAGCTACTTGGGGACTTTTATCCTGAGTTTTGGGCATTTTTGTCGATTTTTTTGTGGCTCGACATGTTTCTCCTTCCGTTCATAAATTATTTTATCCAAATAGTGAGCAGATTAACGAGTTTTGAACGGATTATTTTTAAAATTAAGGTGGGAGAGAGGCTCTGACGCACCCGTCTACTCCATTTGCTTCCGGAAGTCATCTTTACCATAATCTCAACATCTTCTTCTTCTCCTCCTCCTTCTTCTTCTCCTTCTCCAGGCTCCCCGGTGCAGCCCTTCAGCCCCTTCTGGTTCTCTGTGGAGCCCCGGGACACAATGGCCGTGCGGGGAAACGCCGCGCTGCTCAACTGCTCGGCGCACAGCGAGGCGCCGGCGCGCGTGGAGTGGAAGAAGGACGGCACCTTCATGAGCCTGGCCTCCGACGAGAGGCGGCGCGTGCTGCCCGACGGATCGCTGCTCTTCGCCCACGTCGTCCACTCCAAGCACAACAAGCCGGACGAGGGCACCTACCAGTGCGTGGCCACCATCGACAGCCTGGGATCCATCTCCAGCCGCACGGCCAGGCTCTCCGTGGCAGGTGAGGGCGGCCAGGGGTTTTCGGCCCATAGGTGTTTTACATCAATCAATCAATCTGTCATGTAGGTGGGTCTCGAAGGGAGGACTCAGGTGCGGAGATGACGGAAAAAACAAGGTTTTTTTTTTTTTCTTGTCCTGTTCAGCATTATGGTAGTAGAACTGAAATCTGCGTACCGTGCAATGCTGAGCAAAATTGCTTTGCCAAGGGAGGCTTTGTTAGTTAGAAGCCCCCCTTGATTACCCAAAACTTCTTTATTTATTCATTTTTGTTACCAAACTTCCATATGTCCAATAATACCGAACCTGACAGAGGGACAGGGGGGAGGGAAGGGTAGTGGAAAGGAGAGAGATCCTTTAGAGAGAGAGAGAGAGGGGGGAGAGAGAACAAAAAGTAAAAAAATAA